TAGCCTGACCCTTGTTGTTGCCCTTGAGGAAAAGGCATGTTAATGTTATTCCTCCTACCTTGATTGTAGGGGTTTGAATAAGAATTATTCCTATTATAATTACCTACGAAAAAAGACATATTGAGAATTTTGGGGACAATCATCACAAACATGGGGGGCCATTACAGAAACCACATGCTACAACATTAGGAATGTTGGAAATTGCATGTGCTTGTTGTGGCTGTGCTTTAGAATCAGTGTTCAAATTCAAAGTCTTAATGGTATTATTCAAAGAGGATATGTGTGCTGCCAATGAAGATATAGCATCAAGCTCCAGCACTCCTGTAGCTTTTTACTGTGCAATTGTCCTCTCGGATGGCCACTGATAATTATTGTTTACCATCCTCTCTAGCATCTCATAAGCTTGTGTAAAGGTCTTGTCCAAGATGGATCCTTCAGATGATGCATCCACAATACCTCGGGTTTGTTCATTCAATACATTGTAGAAAGTTTCCATCTGGAGCCATTCGGGTATGCCATGGTTGGGGCATTTTTGAAGCAATTCTTTAAATCTATCCCAACTTTCATATTATGATTCTCCTTCTTTTTGCTGGAATGATGTAATACCATTACCCAGTTGAGCTGCCTTAACTGGAGGGAAGAATTTGATCAAGAATTTCTCGACCAAATCATCCCATCTTATGATTGAATTAGGGGCTAGAGTAATCAACCATGTTTTACCTCTATTAGCTAAAGAATAAGGGAATAACTTCAGCTTTAAGGCATCAGTTGTGACTCCTTGCATCTTGAAGCTATCTTCCACGTCTATGAAGTTCTTCAAGTGTAGATGTGGGTCTTCACTTGGCATTCCATTGAACTGGTCAATCGTTTGCAGCATACTAAACATGACTGGTTTCTTCTCAAAATTTGTCGTTGCAACGTTCTTTCCATAAAAGATTCATCTCAAAATTGTGGCGTCCTTTTTCTTCTCTGTTGTGTGTGTTTGTCCTTTTTGGTACGCGTTGTTACCGTACTCTAAAGAAAAGCAAAAAGCAAGTGTGAGTGGAATCAAAAAGTAAAAGCAAGGGACAACTCATTACTCTTTTATCTTTTTCTTATCTCACTATTCCACGCTGGCAGTCGTTCCTTAACATTTATTACATTTATACTAATATTTATAACTAAACATACTAAAATGGCGAGGAATGACTTTCGTTTCACACTGAAAAATGAATCAGATGGGAATGCAATTTCGTCCCATCAAAAGACATGTCCAAACTCCTCGTAGCAGTTGATCCAGAGTGACCACCCTCAATAAGCCCATCTGAGAAGCTCGTCCACCTGAGGGCCCCATCTCACCATTGGAAAATCACCCAGTATCAGTGTTGTCTTCGATCCTATGGCACCCGCGGTTAAGGATGCCTGGGACTCTATGCCATTTTGGAGATGCAGAGCGGCAACGTCCCCGCTGAAGCAAAGCGGACTTTTTCTTGCCACCCCCGCTGCGATGCCCTCGAAGAAGCATCTGTTGCTTCTCCACTTCCGTGCGACCAATACCGAAGAGCCAGTACTTGGCCTTGAAGGGTAGGCTAGTTATGAGGACATCCTCGATGGGATCACCACGACCTTCGTCGCCACTACCAGGTGTGGCAGAGCCATCACCTCTACCGCTTATCTTCCAGAAATCCCTAACTTCTAAAAGGGTTTTTGGTGGAGGAAAACCACTAGAAATTTAAGTGACCAAGCTACTAAAATCTACCTTAACTCCTTAAGAAAAGCAACGAAGAAACAAGCAAATGAGGAGGATATTTAAAAGGGAGTACCTATTTGGAGTTTTGAAGATAACGAGACTCGAAACTTTAGTGACGACAAAGCACCAATGTTAGTAATCCTAGAAATCCAAGCGAACATAGCAAAGCCTCAATGAAGAATAGCTCATGGAAGTGTGGGCAAAACTCACAAAACCCAGGAACGGAAGAACACAAACCCAGATATCTTAGATGGAAGAGAGGAAATGAGGCACGCAATCAAAAATAAAGTGAAATGCTATGAAAAAGGAAAAGGAAATGCATATGGGCAAGAAGTTCAACTAGCATGTAAAAGAAGTTTGGGCGCAAATCTAAAAGGGCAAGGGCAAAAAGGACATTTCACAATGCCCCTGACGTAGACCTGGATGCATGCCATCATTACGCACCAAATATGAAGACATAACATGTTTCTCAATGCACGTCACACCAGCTAGAATGAGACATGTGTAAAGGCATAAATGCCAAAACAGGCATAAAAAAGCCAAATGTCACTACTCATGGATGATCTGATCAGGGCGGCCCCAAGGAACGACCACTCAAGCCTCCCCTAGAGCACGACACAACATCAACCAATCCAGCTAGTCCAAGACATCATAGGCATCCCTGAGGCCGGACTATAGGGTCAAAGAGTCTCAACCAAGTTATCAGCATGAAGCTTGGCCAAAGTCGCCCCCAAAGCGATACAAAATATAAAGCTCGCCCATAGAGAGAAAAATATGGGGCGGTCCTTGACCACTGCATAGGCACCAATTGGACTAGCCACATGGCTCAACCCCAGACATGGCCGGGACACTCGAAGAAGCATTACAGCCCAACAGCTCTAACGCTCAGACTGCTGGACTAGGGGGCAATTGTTAAGGACCCAACTTATAGGTCCATATCTCAACAACCCACAACAAACAACCAGCTAAGAGAGATAAGGGCAACGACCTTATCACACCATTAGGGGAGAGAAGATAAGGTACAATACTAAGGTGATCAAAACTTTACCCCTATTAAAGCCACCAAGTACACACTTTTATGCTCTATTACTCTTAGTTGTTATTGTGCACACACATGCCATATTCTTTGTGCACAGCGATCCGACCCCTTGTGGTGTCTTCTCCATAGACACCTGCGAACATACTGATCCCATATTAACATATCACCCTTTGGGTGAACATCCTTAATCCTCTTGGATCAAACAATATTCTTTACTCAATTTTATCACAACATTTTCTTCCCACCATTTTCTTTGTTTTTGTTTGGTCATTGTTTTACCCATTTATTCTGGCAATTTGAGCCACGTGTACTGGTTCAAATGGCTTACCACTTCAGTATGATTTTGTCAGATCTTGAGAAGTTTTTTGACTCGCCTATTTTGATGGTCTGAATGGACCATTGAGGTGACTGACTGGGTTCTGTTTAACTGCTTCAACGAGTCATTTTGGTCCCAGTTTCAGAATCGTAGTTTCATCAAGAAATCAACTAAAAGTAATTGAATGATCAAATCAATTTAACGTTGTGTAAAATATGTGAATTACTTGTTACGCATAGGGGTGTGCAAAAAAACTGGTTCACTTGCCCTGCCCTTGATCTGACCTTGACCTAACCCATAAATACCTATTTTTTTGAACTGGTTTAAATACTGACCCACTTTTATTTGGGTCAGTTTTAGGCCTGACTTGTTTTAATGAGTCTCATTGACCCAAAACTTGACCCATACCCATTATGTGAAAAAAAAGAAAATCACAATTACATTGAAAGAAAAGTTTTAACGTAAAACAATTACGTCAAAATTTTTTACGGAAAATATTTCCATACAAAATTTTGACGAAAAATATTTTCATCAAAATTTGTGACAAAACATTTCTGTAAAAAAATTTCAAAGAAAAATTTGTTTATCAAATTTTTTTACGGAATCTAAATTTCGGCAAAATATTTCACAAAAAAATATATTCATCAAAAATTTCGACGAAACACATTTCCATAGAAATTTTTTGACAGAAAAAATTTCTTCAAAATTCTTTACAGAATTCAAATTTCGGTTAAATTTTTCGACTGAAACATTTTCGTTAAATTTTTGACCAAAAAAATTTTCGTCGAAATTTTTAGCGAAACACATTTTCATCGAAAATTTTCAACTAAATATTTTCGTCAAGTTTTTTGATAAAAAATATTTCCATCAAAATTTTCAACGGAACACATTTCTGTCAAAAATGTTCGTAAAAATTTTTGACAATATTTCGATAAAAAATTTTGACGAAAAAATATTCTTTCAAAAATTCTTTAGAGAATCTAAATTTCGCCAAAAGTTTCGAATGAAACATTTCCCTCAAAACAATTTCAGTCAAAATTTTCGTCGGAACACATTCCATCAAAATTTTGAACGAAAAACATTCCGTCCAAATTTTTGACTGAATTCTTTTTTGGTTTAAACATTTGATGGATTTGATGGAGGAAATCATTTTCGTCAAAACTTTTGACGAAAACTAAATTTTGATAGAAAATTTATTTTTATAAAAATTTTCATTAGAGAAAAAATTCCGTCGCTTTTCGACAAAGTATTCTGACAAAAAATAATTGTGACGAAATTTTTGTCGTTTACAACGTAGAAATTTCGACGAAATTTTGTGACGAAACCAAGTCAAAACCGGGTCAAGTCAGATTTGACCCACTTCAGAAACCAAGTCAGATCCACTTCAGAAACCAAGTCAGATCAAATCCGACCCGATTCTGAACTAGTTCAAAAAAATCCAAACCAAGTCAGACCTGACTTGGATCAAATTAAAGCGGGTCGGGTCAAAATACCTGACCTACAAAAACCAAGTTAGGTAGAGTCGACACAAAAACCTGACCCAACCTGACTTACGCGTATCTAACATAAATCATTGACATTACAATACTAAATTCAGAAGTAAACACGCCATCCATTAATTTAGCGTTTCTTTATTTCTTGATCACTCACGAGAAGAGAATATCCAACTTCTATATTTTAGGTTTGCTGGGTTATTTCTTGAACTCGTAGCAACAGACCATATGATAAACTAACAATCTGACGTTTACATATTTTGTTCCTTCCCTCTCAAAACACAGTGACGTCGCAAAGAGGAATCAGCACAGACATATATTCTATTTTACACAAACGTAGCTTAATAACATGCAACTCTCATTGACATGGTCAAGAATCAAGCGCAGAAATGTATATCTAAAGAGATTTCCCAAGAGATCCGAACTAAAGTCAAGAAAATCAGTTGGATAAAACTAAATGATCAATAATTCATAAGTGAGGGAAGACCTAAGAAAACACATCAACAAATTAACAATTTAGTAAAGTGATAATATTATCCAGCAAGGTCAACATAACTTATTCTTCCCCGCCAACTTATCAACACGTTTCCCAGCGAATTTTAATGGCACCACACTGCCACTTCCAGAAAGGAAACAACCCTCCCAACGCCTTGTATATAAGAAAGGAAACATGGGCATCAATATGTGCCTAAACCTGTACATGCTAAGCACTAGTGTTTCTAACATCCACACAGTAATAAAATAAGCTCCCCCGTCATGAGAAAAAGTAAAGACTAGAGGAACAGATTAAGCTGAATATATCATAATACATGAAGAGCCTGATCGCAAATTTATCACAATGCTACACTGTTACGGCATCATGATAAGTATACAAAAGCAGAAACCTCCACCATAGATGCAACTTGCACTTCCAAGTCAGATAGCTCCAATTGTATTTGAACAGAAGCAAGGTTGTACATTTGATGTACCTTCAACGCAAATACCATTATCATTAGGAGAACCTCTGTTTATCTCTATCAACTCAGCACTGTCTCTGAGTTCACATGACCACCACTGCTCCCACTATAACTGTTAAATCCAACCACAGGGGCGGAGCGCTGAGCAAAATCTAGTAGTAACTTCCTCTGCTGGTCATCAGTGTGAGGAAGACTAGCACGTAAGAGTTCAACAGGCATTTCCTTACTAATTGCATTAGGAGTATCTGATCCAATTACAGCAACATTTGGTGTCCCTTGTATAAGCCGCGATTGCATGATGCTATGGTATTTATTCATGCAATACTTCGTGAGAAGGCTAAAAAATTCATCAAATGAGGCCTGCCAAAATGAACGGTTACCTATATTATAGTTGCAAGAGGCATGAGAATCAGTTAGAAGTTCAGTAGCTCTCTCAAGAACAGATACTAAAATAAGGGAAGCACCATCTCCAGCGGTGCTTCCAAGGGGACGTAGAGGAGGCTGCTCCGGCGAACAAACAACTGCTGCAAGACAAGCACTAAGCACACCAAGATCCATTCCTTGGACACATTGACAAACAGCCTTGGCAAGGTCACTTGTAGTCTCTGCAGCTGCCAGATCAGAGGGGAGACCACCATATAAGAATCTTAAATGACGAAATATGGCCATGCAGACTATCCGCATAAGCTCACTACCAGGAACAAGATGAAGATACTTTGCTAGGAGCTTGCGTCCCTTGGGAAGAGATACTAATCGTAAGAAAATAAGATCGTCCCTAGCAGCAAGCCCAACTTTGTGTCCATTCTTTCCCAGTGGGTCAACAAGTTGAAGTGATGTTGCTAGTCCTTCCAAAAGGACCTTCCGTCTTCTTCTTAATTGAGTTCCACCATCTTGTAGCTGATTACACTGTAAGAAACGATCAATATCATCTACATCAAGAAGAAGACAAAGACCATCCTCAATTGTGACTCTAGCTGCAAACAAAGGCTCCTCTTCAAGGGGCTTCTCTGAAATATTTCGCTCAGAGCTACCACTAACAGAAGAGTTTGGAGGATCAACTTCAAGAAGAGGGCGAGGTCGACGAATAGCCAAGAAAGAAACCCTCCCTAAAGCATCAACCTGAAGAAAACTATGCGGCTCAGTATTGGCACGGGCTCGTGGAGAAAGTTCCTTAATTTGTGTTGGGCAAAATGAATGTTTCAACTTAGCCCCAGGTTTTTTTGCAAGACGAGCTTGGTGATAATAGTCATTTACATAAGGGTCATTACAATGAGTCACATTATGCTGCATTCTAAGAATACTCTCAATTTCATCACTAGTCATATACTTGGACCTAAACTGTACTGATCCACAATCACTCTTCTGGCTACTGGAATCAGAACCCTGATGGGATAAACGATGACTCTGTCTACCCTTATGAGTGGATTTTGGTCTATGATCCCTAACATCAGCCAGACCAAGCATAAGTTCATATTTGCTAGCTATTGATGATCCAGAAGAAAGGTGGGGAGTAAATAAATGGGACTGGAAACCTGACAAATAGCCTGCTGATTGCTGAACAGGATGATGCAGTCTATACTGCTGTTGCTGCAACTGAGTCATTAAGTGAGGAGATACTGATCCACTATGATGGTGTAATTGTTGCTGTAACATATTACTCACGAGATTTGGATGATCTCCAGGATATAACCCTGCTTGGTTGACCCATTGATTCTGCATTCGGTGATTAAGAGGGGATCCAGCTGTGAATTGGCTCATATTTCCACTGAACTGCGACTCATGTTTTGATCCACTCAACTGTAGTGCAGAGTTGAAGAAACTAGAACGATTTTGTGACAATAATGGTATATGAGCTCCCCCAGCACGGTAAGGAATGTTCATGTGCCCTGTACTATGATTTGGAGAAGACTGTTGAGATTTACCACCAGGGGGAGGATAAGAAGTAAATGAAGATTTTGGTACCAAAATTGGTTCACTAGAAAAACGAGCAAGCTCCTGTCGCTTGTCAGGATATGATGATGTTCTATACAAGGGCTTTGATTCTTGTAAGTGCGCAATGGAGGAATGTGGCTGGGATGACCATTTATTTCCATTCTCAGCAGTTTCACTATCAAGAAAATGTGCATCAAACCAATTAGGAACAGGTTCACTAGAGCAATGTTGGAGGGGGTGTTGCTGCTGCCGTTGCTGCTCAGGATATGAAGATGTTCTGTACAAGGGCTTTGATTCTTGTAGATAAGTGAGAGGAGAATGTGGATGCGATGACCATTTTTTTCCATCTTGAGAACCTTCACTGTCATACGCATGCTGGTCAAACCAGTAGGGAACATCATCCCTTTGTGACCAGTCAGAAGCCGAGGAATCTGTACAAAATATAGCAAAAGAAACCATTCAGTCAACAAGATTGCAGGAAGAGAAAAGGGGTGCTGCCATAAAGCCAAAAACATTCACTTAGAACACTAGACATGCATCATCTCATACAAGTCCAAACTCCAAAATGCTATCTACCAAATACTTTTCCATTAACCTGACAGGTATGTTGCTATTTGTCTCTAACGCCATCAATCTCAAAAAGCAAAATTTACACGTGGACAAACTCACTAAAGACCTGAAAGATCACAAAATATAGGAACAACTCCTCTTGATGAAGAAGATATCATCAATGTAACCCAAATTTCTCTTGATTTCCCCCGAATTGATAAGACTTTTAACATCATTTAACTTTGTATAGCTGGGTTGTGTGTCCCACAAATAGGAGAGAAAGGAAATAGACAAAGGTAGAAAAATAAATAAAGAAGACTATTCTTACATTTTTTGCTTTCATACATTTCCAGTTGATACAACCCATCTTAAAATTAGTTTAGTACTTGAGTTATTACCAGCCTCTTTATGTACTGTTGTCAATTTCTTTCGTCCTCCATTGTTGTGTCGGGCAGCATTGACAATATAAATTAAGCTATCCACTTTTAAGCACATTATTAGAAAATAATAGTACAAACATTTTCTTACTTGGACACCACAAGATTAGTATTTTTCTATTACAATTTACAGCCCCAAATAGTTTCACATATTTAAATCCCATCCTAAGCATCTCAAGTGTTAAAAATATGTAATTTTACAGAGAGATAAATGCAGATATGTAAATCAGTTTTTCAGATAAAAGAATAAGCAATAAGTGAATTCAGTACAATTGCTTACTCACTTTCTCTTGATCCCCGATCACCAATAACTCCTGGGTTTCTTGGACCACTAACAACTTTGTTCAACTGAAATAAATCAAAAAGCTTAATCTTAATATCAATTTACACAAAGCAGAAGATATCACCATTAAAAGATACCAGTATTAATTTTAATAGCATTAAGAGACTGAATCATCAAATCTATCACTGTTGGAAGACATGCAAAGCGCATGGAAAAATTAAAACATTTAAATAATATAGAAATGTGATAGGAACCGAAATACAGTAATACGAATTGGATGGAAAAATGAATCTGTATTAACTATGGTTGGTAATTCGGCAACAACAATACAAGTTATGCTGTAAAACAGAAAAATACTGAAAAAGTAAAAATGCAAGTAAAGATAGGTTTCTGGAGCAATTTGAAAGGCTCCAGAGGTCTATCCTAAATCTGGTTTCTCAGCCCAAGTGTGTCCCAATTTCCTTATGCCCCTTCCTTTTCCTTCCCTCACATATACATAGCCTTCGCAACTAACTTCCATGTCAGCAATCGTTTCTCTCTCTCCTCTAACTTAATTGCCCTTGTCATTATTGAAAATATTCCCTTCTAATTGCCTAGTTATTGACTCAGCTTGAATTGAATTTCTTTCTATAAGGTGGATGTATCGTATCAATACTCCACCCAAAACTTTCACCTTGTCTTCAAGGTGATGGTCAGCAAACAAGTGTCCTCCCCGAGGATCCCAATGCTTGAAATGTAAGGGCTAATTGATGCATGAAGCAATATAACCTCCATTGGGGTTCAATTGCCTATCTTCAATCCCAGCTAATGGTTCCATGAGATAACTTGTAGCAACCGCAAGAACTCAAACATAAAATTCGGTCAAAGATATAATAGCAGTGTACATGGCAGAATACATCCAAATATCACTTGTCTTGGGATAAATGACAGATCTCCTTAGTTGTTCCTCAATGACACTGATGGAAGGCTGCTGAAGGTTTATAGTAGAAGGAGAAGAAGTGGACCTGGCCCACATGGAGAGCAAAGCCCACATGGAGAACATGAAACAGACCCAAGAGACTCATCAAAGGGGAAGGCAAATGAGATTGGGGCTAGTGGACGTCACGTGACAGAGCCAAAGGAAAGAGAGTCGGTTCCAACAAATGAAAGGGAAGTCAGTTAGAAGAGAGAGGAAAAGAGGTGGTGTGGAAATTAGTTATAAGAAAGGGGAATGCAACAGTTGTAGGGATATCTTGAATTTGTGAGTGGAGTCTTGGGAGGAAGGGTACTCAGGGAGTCCCTTTGGGGTTTTTCTTTCCGTTATTTGAAGGCTGTTGCAGCCATTTTTATTGTTGATCATAGTGGTGTCTTGTAATCCTCTTTGAGCTAAAGTGTCTTAGCTTGTGAGACAATTTGAATACAAATAGTTGATTTAATTCCAGAATTATTTCTATCTTTAAATTCTGTTTCATCATTTTGGTATCAAAGCTCCCGTTCCTTGGAGCAGTGAATGGTCTTAACCTGAATGGAGGCCAGGATGGAGTCTATAGAACGAAGAACGACCCAATTTGAAGGAAGGATGGAGGAAATGACCACTGAGATGCGTCAACTCCGCGAAACAGTTATGGCGTACTTTGATAGGGTGGATCAACATGATCCTAACTCAGGAGGAGGGAGGGGTTCGAACAACAACGGACCGGTCAATGATGAGAGAGGTAGTCGTAATGTAGGCAGGGACGAAGATCGTATGAGGCGTTTAGAGGTTCCATACTTCGCCGGAGACAATCCCTATGGGTGGATTTATCGTGCTGAAAGGTATTTCCGGATTAACCAAATTCCGCCGGAGGAACAGGTGGAGGCTGCATCTATTTGCATGGAGGGCAAGGCGTTGAGCTGGTTCCAGTGGTGGGAATCAAGGAACCCTAACATTGAGTGGGGCCAACTTCGTTCAGCATTGTTGCAACGATTCCACACGTCGTCATCTGGGAATCCCTTTGAAGCACTCATGTGTCTGAGGCAACTGGGGACGGTTTCAGAGTACTGGGAAAACTTCGAAATGCTTGCTGTCCCATTACGAGATGCAGATGATGAGGTTATGAAGGCTGCGTTCCTCAATGGGTTGCGCGAAGGGATCCGAGCTAAGGTGAGACTTCACCGAACCAACAGTATGGAGGAGCTGATGTCGTTGGCACAACGCGTCGAGGAAAAAGAAATGGTGACAGGGAAGGGAGGAGTGAACGTGGGTTGAATGGGTGTTGGGCCTGGATCGAGCTTTCATAATAAGCCCGCGTTGACAACCCGAACCAATCCATCTGGGATGAACGCAAATGGGAGAGGGGCTAGTAATACTCATTTTTCTAGGAATAATGGGCCACAAGCACGGCCCAATGAACCCAATGCCAATTTAGGGCAGCCAACAGCTGAGAACGGAGAAGGGCAGGGATCCACATTTAGGGGGACCAGGGAAAATTCCACGGGTGAGTGACGCAACCCACGTTTCAAGCGGTTGTTAGAGGAGGAGATGGCGGACTACCGTCGCCGGAATATGTGCTATAGGTGCGACGCACCTTACTCGCCAGACCACGTTTGTGGCAAGCCTCATCTCCGCGTGATGCTACTTGGCGTCGGGGACGAAGGGGAGGACACGAACGAAGAAGAAGAAGCGATAGCAGCCATGGAGGATAACAGGGAGCATCATTTGAGACTGGGCATGCATAGCGTGGTGGGGGTGACGTCGAACCATTCTCTGAAGGTATGGGGAAAAATATTGGGGCGAACCGTAATGATATTGGTGGATTCAGGAGCAACACATAATTTTATACAAAATCAATTGGCAAATGAATTGAACTTGCCAATGGATGAGTCGTCTACGCACAGAGTGGAGGTGGGGATGGCCATAAGGTACAAAACAAAGGAGTCTGTAGACAGGTAACCATCTCTTTCCCTAATCTGACGGTGATTCAAGATTTCTACCTTTTTCATTTAAATGGGGTGGATGCCGTATTGGGGTTTGAGTGGCTGGCAACGTTGGGGGAGTTCAGGGCAAATTTCAGAGACCTCCATCTGAAAATACCCACGGCTAATGGAGTGGTGGAGCTGAAAGGGGATCCAACGGAGACCAGAAGTATGATGTCATTTAAGAAAGTGGGGAAAACATGGAAGAAAGGGGCAGAAAAGTATTATATTGAGCTGAGGATCTTGTCTGCAGAGGAGATCAAAACACAGGAAGTGACCAAGGAGATCATGCAAGTATTACATGATTACGAGGAGGTTTTTACAACTCCTTCAGAGCTGCCTCCATCCAGAGCATGTGACCATCAAATAACTCTTAAGGAAGGGGGAGATATCCCTAATATTAGGCCATATCGGTACCCTCGTTATCAAAAAGAGGAGATCGAAAAATTTGTGAAGGACATGTTGATGGCTGGGATGATCAGACCCAGCAATAGCCCTTATTCTAGCCCATTGATCCTTGTGAAGAAAAAGGATGGAAGCTGGAGGTTCTATGTTGATTACAGGGCTCTCAACCACATCACTGTGACGGACAGATTCCCTATGCCAATGATTGATGAGTTGCTGGACGAGTTAGGAGGAGTGGTGATATTTTCGAAATTGGATCTAAAATCTGGATATAACCAGATTCGGATGTGTGTGGAGGACATTGCAAAAACGGCGTTTAGGACACATGAGGGTCATTACGAATACATTGTAATGCCCTTTGGTCTAAAAAATGCTCCCTCAACATTCCAAGCATTGATGAATGAGATATTCAGGCCATTTCTGAGGAGTTTTGTATTGGTTTTCTTTGATGACATCTTAGTGTATAGCAAGGATGTTCAATCTACTTGAATATAAAATAATAGAAGAATAATATGTTGTGTATTGATCTGTGTCAAGGAGTTACAATATATAGAGACCCTAATGGGCTTAAGTGTAAGGCCCAAACCTAATCCAAACCTAATCCTAATACAGTCAGAATACAGTCAGACTATTTACGGATAAGACAGAATCAATCATATCTAATCAAATCTAATCATATCATATCTAATATTCTAACACTCCCCCTCAAGCTGGTGCGTATATATTATGAGCACCAAGCTTGTTACAAATGTATTCAACCCGAGGACCTCTAAGAGCTTTAGTGAAAACATCTGCTAGTTGATTAGATGAGTTGACAAAAGCTGTCTTGATTTCTCCTGACTGAATCTTTTCCCGAATGAAGTAACAATCAATCTCTATATGTTTGGTCCTCTCATGAAAAACAGGATTAGAGGATATATGTAGTGCAGCTTGATTATCACAGATGAGTGTCATGGGTTGTTTCTGTTCACAAAGATGAAGCTCCTGAATCAACTGCTTTAACCAGATCAACTCACACGTAGTATTTGCCATTGCACGATACTCAGCTTCTGCACTAGAACGGGAAACAACAGGTTGTTTCTTGCTTTTCCATGAGATTAAGTTTCCTCCGAAGAAGACACAATAACCAGAAGTAGAGCGTCTGTCCGAGGGTGATCCTGCCCAATCGGCATCTGAGTAACCACAAATTTATGTATTTCCCTGATCCGAATACAACAAACCTTTTCCTGGTGCTCCTTTGATGTATCGGAGGATCCTCACAGCAGCATCCCAATGTGAATCACAAGGGGAATCAAGGAACTGACTGGCCGTACTGACAGCGAAAGAAATATCTGGCCTAGTCACAGTAAGATAATTGAGCTTCCCAATTAGCCTCCGATAACGTCCAGGATCAGATAACGGCTCCCCCTGTCCGGGTAATAACTTGACATTAGGATCCATAGGTGTATCAACTGGTTTACTCCCCAACATACCAGTTTCTTCTAGGATATCCAAGGCATATTTCCTTTGACAGATAGAAATGCCTTGTCTTGATTGCGCCACCTCAATTCCCAAGAAGTAACGCAGCTTCCCAAGGTCCTTTGTTTGAAATGTACTAAACAAATGTTGTTTTAACTGACGAATTCCGTCTTGATCACTTCCGATGAGAATGATGTCGTCAACATAGACTAACAAATAGATACACTTATCAGGAGATGTAATCCTATAAAACACAGAATGGTCAACT